ATCCCATAATTTTGCTCCCATTTTGATCCACCAATTATAATTTTTGCTCCACTACAGTGGAGAGACCGAGAGACTATGTGGCCTATTAAGTGGGGGGAAGGGGCAAATTAACCCTAGCCACCCCCAGTGAAGATTTCGAAGTTTTTTTTAGCTAATTTCATACTCCAAGTTACTGCCGCTTAGATTTGGATCAACTATAGATATAGTCATAGACGACAAAATGTCATTTAAGGAACATTGCAACTCAACTATTTCAAAAATCTGCTACCTATGGAATTAGTCATCGTAACAGATGTTCACACAGTTTATCGAGATGGTCAAAATTAGTAGTCTTCAATGCATTGGTATTACCACACTTTACATACTGCATGTGCAACAATATTATATTTTTTGCAGCAAAATGAAATAAACCGCTTACAGAAGATGCAAAACCGCGCTATGAGCATAATATTATCATGTGATAATATCATTCGTGGGGCATATTTTGGAAACACAAATAGAAAAAGACAAACAAAAAGATCAAGAGATGGAGGTAGAGGAAAATCCCAGTGGTTCAGCCTTAACCAAACTATCTCTTGAAACAAAGTCGGTGGAAGGTCCAACAGGCCAAACTCACCACAAGATCACCGAAGGCCAGCACAAGTCTTGCGAAAGAAAATGTTCCCCATCAGATCGGGAAGCTGGAAGCAGCAAAACCGAGAAAGATGATAAACCTATAAGGAACCTTGGGTCTCAAATCAACAGATTAAAGATAAACAAAGTCAAACTCTCTGGCGACCAGAAACGACAGAAAGCTATTGAATGGGCAAAAGCCAAAGGGTAATTACCTCGTAAATCCCGAGCAAACATTAGGAAACCCCAAACTCCTAAATAGGGACAAGGCACTTCAGGCACTAATAACGTTGAAGCACAAAAAACTCCAACAGTTACTGCGAACCAGCAGCAAAAGGGGATTAAGAGCCACCAACACCATCACCCTCACAAAACCTTCAAAAAATTGCGAAACATACACGATGAAGTTGCAACAAAACCCAGTAAACCAACTGGGGTCAGTTATAGCAAGGTTATGTCAGCAATCAAGATGGCTGTCATTACAAGTACCTATCCTGACAATAAGATGACAGATGACAGCAGAACAAGGGAAAAAGGTACAGGAGCTATCCTCCGGGAAATCTGGAAGTGCCAACCTGGAAAAGGACCCAATTTCAACCATAGCCAAGCAGAATATGGCATGGTTCACTTCCGTTGCGTAGACAACGAGGCTGCGGAATGGCTGAAAATGGTAACCCCAAAACTAAACCCCTGGGAAGGGGCAAATCTGAGGGTCCAAGGATTTCACTCCCAGAATATGGATATCGGTGTGGATACCCAAAGAACATCTTGATGCTGACGACCCGACAAGAATACTCCGCTGTCTATAAACCCAAAATGAGGTGATAGACGCAAATGACTGGAAGGTGTTTAATATCAAGGTAGAACCAAAAGGCTCCATAATTCTGGTTGTGGGAATAGACGAGAACTCTCTGAAGGTGCTAATCAAGAAAGGCTTTGGGCTTTACCTTGACCTCACGATGCTAACTTTCAGGGTCCTCGATCCAAAACCCAAAAATGCTATGGGTTCTTCAGATAAACTCGCGGCATAAGAAGGCTGCAACTGCTGCCTTCTGCAAAACCTTCGAAACAGGGGGCATTGACGTGGCTCTGATCCCAGAACCCTGGGCGTCAGGGAACAGAGTCATGCGTCTAGGCAACATCGGAGGTAAGTGGTAAGTTAGTCTGCTACTCAAACTCGGAGAATGTAAGAAGTTACATTAATGCAAACAACAGTATTAATGCAATAAAAATGACAAATTTTTGCTTTAGGAACATGGCAACAATAAAACTTAACTACCAAGAAGCAGGGAACACTAAGGAGCTTATTATAACTTCTGTGTACCTGCCATATGACCCCTAATCCTACTCCATCTGCAGAACTGGAGAGATTAGTGCAATTCTGTGGGCTAAATAACCTATAGATTCTCATTGGAGCAGATGTCAACGCCCATCACACCGCATGGAGTAGTAGCGACATAAACCAACGCGGTGAGTACTTACTTGACTTCATTATCTCTATAATAACCTAGACATTCCGAATCGGGAAACTAAACCTACTTTTCTAACAGAAAATAGGCATGAATATATTGATGTAACAAATATGTAACTGGAGGGTAGATGATGGACCAACCGAGTCCACGGATCATAGGTATATTCGAATGGAAATTAAACATATTGATAAACCAGACTATGTATATCGCATCCCTCGTAAAACGGACTGGGAGAGATACCGACAGGACCTAAGAGTAAACCTGACTAACATTAAAACGGTAATTAAAACAAGAACAGACATAGAGGAGGTATGGCATGCAATTGCAGGAAGTCATCCAAACCTCATATCATGAAAATTGCGTAGAATCGAGGCAAACCTACCGCAAACAAAAGTGGTGGAATGCAAACTTCGAAACGCTCAGGAAAAATACACGAAAGCTTTCTAATAAAGCAAAACTCATTTTCCAAACTCTACCGAAATGACCTCTGTTATTCTGTAAAGAACGAACCGTTCGATTCGGTAGAATTTCTTCGATTGTGACGTCATTTTCGGCATTTTCGGAATAGCTTCCGCACTAGCAAACCGAAAATGACGTCACAATCAAAGAAATTCTACCGAATTGATTGGTTTGTTCTTTACAGAATAAGGCCCCTGACAGCAGAAACACATCAATCCGTTCCGCTTTCCGCAATGGATCGAAAAAGGAGGACTGGGAACATGCTAAAAAAGCGGTAACTTACGATGACATAAAATGAGCAATAGGCTCATTTGACAGCTTCAAATCACTCGGACCAGATGAAATAATACCACCATTCCTACAAAAGGCGGTGGACCTTGTAGCACCACACAACCTGTGCAGAGCCAGCCTGGCAACAAGCTATATTCTTGGATCAGGGAGGGAAGTTAAAGCGGTCTTTATCCCAAAACCTGGTAGAGACCCACCGCCAGGTCATACAGACCAATCAGCTTATCGTCCTTTATGTTAAAGGTGACTGAGAAACTAGTTGACAAGAACATCAAGGAAACCCAGTGGGAAAACCTCACTGAAACAGAAGCCACTTCACCAAAACCAACATGCCTTCCGACCAGGTAAATCATGCGAATCAGCTCTACACCGACTGATGACAAGAGTAGATAACTCACTAGAAAACAAGGAAATCGCACTAGTGGCATACCACAGGCAGATGGATCAAATCCATGCTAAAACACAGGACTATAAACATGACTTTTGCGGAAACCTCTATTGGATGAACTTCTGAGGAAACTAAACGATCAAAGCTACTTCACCCTAGGCTACGCGCTACGCGGATGACATAGTCGTTGTCATTAAGGAAGGATTCACCAGGAAGGTATCAAACCTCATGCAGGACGCCTTAGGAATTATTGAGGAATGGTGCAGGAGGGAGCAACTTCTCGCCAACTCCTCCAAAATAAAACTCTTTCCTTTCACGAGAAAAAGAAATCTGGAAGGCTTAATCCGATGATCCGGAAATGTTCCTATTGATCCAATATTTTGGCGTCAAAATCGTCCCAGTCTATTCCAAAAAACTTTGGAGTTTGGCAGGTAAGCTAAATTTCATCCACGATATGAAGCTGACATGGAACTAACACATCTAAAATATAACCACCAAAAGCAAGATGACATTGATGCCACTGAAAAGAGCGATTGGGAAAACATGGGACTAAAACCATCAGTTGTACACTACGGTTGTGAGACCAATGATAACATATGGTGCACTTGCATGGTGGCCAAAAGCAAAGCGAAGACAAACAAACCTGAAGGTAGCCAAAATCCAGAGACTTGCATGTCTTTGTATTACCGGTGCACAGAAAAGCACACCAACGGCAAGTATAGAAACGATCCTAAACCTCCCACCAATTGACCTTATCGTCAAAGCGAAAGCTAGAATCGGGGTATATGGTCTCCAGCTAAAAGAAACCTGGAACCCAAAACCAAATAAACATGCGGCAATTACGAAAATAATCACAAACCCGATTTAACTCATGGGTAGCGACTATATGATACAGAAAAATTCCCTCGAAAAACCCTTCGCCTTCGAGATTGTTCCAGTAGGAAATACCAAGGCAACACCTAAACAAGAAATTGTCTGGTTTTTTGAAATGATTTTTTGGAAATGATTAATAATGTTTGTGATTCGAGGCTTATATCTATATCTATTTGCCCCGGGCATATAGAAGGGCATATTAAACATTTAAAGAATTTAATTTGGTTTAAGTATCATTCATTTATTGATAGTGATAGAACCTGTACCTTCTTTTGGATTGGGGAGTTTATAGTTCATTCAGTAGTAATTAGCCACAAATTTCGGTTGCGTTTTCTATCCAGCAACTTTATAAGCCAGTCAAGTTCACACCTCAAATGTTGTTTCATCAATAAAAAAAGTATATATGTACTTATTTATAACAATATGGAAAAAATATTGATAACTTGTATCCATAATGTATAAGTAAAAATGTGAATAATCAATAAAATATATTATCCTTATTATTTTCAGTCATTTGTCAAATATCAAACACCGAGATCCATATTTTACCATACACAGAATTAAAAATAGCCAAGTTAATTATTGTTAACACCCTGTCATTCTGTAAAAAAGTCCACCCACAATTTTTTTTCAAATAAATAGTCACACTCGCCATTCATGCACTCCCAAAGTTAGGTGCTGCACATATACCACCACAGTCGAATTCAAAAAATCTAGCGAAAGCTTGAGAAACATTGCAATCAGAGGCTTAACGATAACTAAAAAGAAAAAAACCTTTTCTTGGCGCAAAACGTAATAAGTTTGTAAAATGTATTAAAAAAACTATACACCAAAAAAAAGTATTTTTGCTAATCTAATAAAACTAATAATAATTAATTAAACCCAATAATAATATGTAATATATATAGAATAAACAAACTTTTAGTGATTTGTACAAAACAATTTCAATAAACTATTACATCAGGACCGATTCTTTTAACCAAGGCCAGAGAGCTGAACTAGCATATAGACTAGCCAAGCAACCTTCCAAACGAAAAAACATTGATTAAAGCCTAAAAAAACGATTTCAGTTGTAAATAAATTCAGACAGGAAAAAGCCTCGCGTTCGTTGTCTATAGAAAAATAGTAAATTACAAACACCGTATAGTTGCCAATGACCAACCTCTATCCAACAATAATTTTTACCTTATTACAAAACAAAAAAATAAACAAAATACCCTTTAGCCGTTAGTTTTGCAAAAGTTATATGACATTAACAGATGCCTGATTTTTAAGGAAGAATTTTGAATGTTAAATGAAAATTGATAGAATTGGCAAATCATGTCAATTTTCATTTATCAATAAAATTTAAATAACAACAAAAATTGGAATGTCAAAAATATCACGCTTTAAAAACCGACACCTGATTCAAATAATTCTATAACCAGGGAAATTGTGGACCTTTTTTTGGAACCCAGCTCTATTTATTTGTATTATTTTTGTTGAATTGTAGAGTTAAGTGTCTAGGCGGCACAACCAATAATCTACTATGTTTTTTTTTTTCAAATAGTAGTATAATATACGGAGTAATCACTAACTTCATCGAGAAAATTCACTAAAGGATTTTCTCATAATAATTGAAGCTTGAGCTTTTTTAATTCTTAAATAATAAAAATGATAAGTAATCACTAACCTACATTTCTTAGCTGCCACAAGAGCTGTCAAATTAAACCATCATCAGTTTTTGGAGAAAAACCTCCTCGACTGATTGGCAGTAGGAGTAGTGTCACTACTTCCTATGATCCTTATAATAAATTGTATAAAAAATAAACCTAACTTGTCATTAAAGCACTTAATTGCTATTTTTTTTTAGTATTAAAAATATAATTTTATATATTATGTTTTAATGTTTAGCTTATTAAAATAATAATAATAATAATGGAATGTAGAGTAGGATTTCAGATACACAGTGCCTGTGATAAAAATTAGGATACAAAAAACTTCACACCCTTGCTTATCATTGTATGGAGGAAAAGACTAACAGCTGTATGCAACATCCTCTTTTAACTTAAAAGCGCTTTTAAAAACTGGTACCTTTAAAAATGTGTGTGGTTCAGAATACACATTTTTAAAAGTGACCAGTTTTAAAAAGCGCTTTTAAGTTAAAAGAGGATGTTGCATACAGCTGTAAGTGTTTAGGTAGTGAAAATACTTAATTGTGGCTGACTGTTGTTTGACGACAGGAAGAAGAAGAAGAAATCAAATTTTGGTATTTAATTTCATGTATCGTTATTTAGTTAAGTTTGTTCCACTAAAAATCATAAAACAAAAGTTTTTTGTAAGATTTTTCCGGCACTGTAATCATTATCAACATAACATCAACTGTTTCAAAAATGTATAACTTGTATAATAAAGCAACAATAAAGCTTTAATAAAATAGCAATAAAGCTATTTTTTAAGTACTTTAAACCTAGCTAAACCTATGTAAAAAATAAAAGTACGTTCTTCCGATACTATATACAAAATATATAAAAAAGAAAATAAAACGAAAAATTTAAGAAAAATGTAAAATGTATAAAGTAGTTTTTTTCATTTAGCCTGCATCTTAGGCATGGAAACAAAGTATTTTCTGGTCTATACCCTTAATCAAATAATCTAAGATACTTTGAAGGGAAATATAAACTTTTAGGACAAATTTTTGTCTAAATGCAAATTCATCGAGAATCATATTTTTTTTTGTAAGAATAATATAAAAATATATGTAAATATCAAAATAAGGCAATTTTATCACCTCATTATTGTCAAATATTAATTATCGTTGGACGCACGCACATAACTCTACATGGGTGGATAAAAATGTTGATACATCGGTACAGCATTAGCACTAGTTGAAGCCGTAGCCGAACCGGTACTCGTAGCCGCTGAAGGCACGTAAGCTCTTTTAGCCGAAGCCGCTTGCTCCTGGAAAGCGTCGCCGTAGCTCCTTTTCATAGACGGGTGGGGTACCATCGGTAACAGACCCGGTGTCGGAGGAAACTGTGGACCGAGCAGACCAAAATTAGGCGACATAGGCCCACAATTTCTAGAAAAATACGCGGGAAGGCGGGGCAAGAAAGCGACATAGGGATTCTGAGCAGGCATCATGTGAATAAATTGTTGTAACCCTGGCATGCACCCGGCAGGACTACCTGGGGGAGGTTTGGCGGCGTTTCCAGGAGACAACGGCGACGGTAGGATGGCTAAATTGCCTTGCGAGGCTGCCAAATTGTGCTGAGCTAATTGATTCATGAGCAACATTTCGCTTTGAGCGTGCGCTTGCGTTTGACGCGCAATTAAATTTTGCTGCGCGATCATTTGCGCTTGTTGTTGCGCTTGCAATAGAGCGGGGTCCCAAAGGGCCGATTGGGTCGCGGGAGGGGGAATATGAGTGGGCGGTAACGGTAACATACCGGTACTGAGGAGAGTTGGCGCTGGTGTTGTTGCTTTGACCGGCGACGTTGGAGCTGGCAAACCTAATTATCAAGAAAACGAATTTCAAAAATCGATTGGTAATTGTTGATTGAGTTGTTGCTTACAAAACTTACCTCCAGTAAGCACCAGGTTCATATCTTCTCCGGAACATTGGAATACTTCAATGTAACGTTGTTTCTTTCCGAAGATCATGTACCTGTGGTGCTTCTGTTGAGCTGTGATGAATGCCGACTGTTCAGAATCCATTTGTATGAAAGCTTCACCACTAGGCTGACCCTAGAAATTTAAAATCAATGAGTACTTTTATAACGGTCGGCTTCAATCATATCGGCGAATTGGATAACCGATGTTAAATCAATATTTTGGTGCAATTGAATTCATATGAATAGATGCTCAGATGGTTGGATTTTTGATCATGTTATAGACCTTTCTGGTATACCTTCGTTGTTATAAATAACGGGTACCTACCAGTTTTTCAATTATTATTGTATTAAGTAGAGCTACCTTCAGGGACTGGATTCTCGTCTAAGGAAGTAGAGCTTCCCAATAGGACGAATGTTTTGTCCTTGTCAACTTAATCGTAAAGTAAACGAAAATGATAAAGACAAAAAATTTGTCCTCTCTGGGAACTCTACTTCCTGACCCGAGAATCGGTCCACAGGTCGTACTCAAAAGAAAAAGAAGATGGCGACTGCATGGTGGAAACATCATTGATCATTATTGACATTGATTGACACACACACGGAGAGAAAGGAAATAAGGGTGACGGATGGTCGTCCATTTTGAGATATATTTTTTTTTGACAAGAGTTTAATCATTTTATGCAAATTAAGAGATTCATATAGAACCTGTAGTGTTTATTATAAAGCAGTATCGGATAGACTCCGCTCTAGGAAGCTCGTGTTTGTTAAAAGTGTTTTTTTGTTGTTGTTACTGTTCAATTTTAAAGTTTAGAATTTAAAGTAGTGCTTAGTTGGTGTTTATTTTGTTAAAATGGAAAAAAAGAATAAGACAGTTAGAAGACCTTGGGAACCAATAATTACAAAAAGACATCGAACGAAATACTACAAAGGTTTCTATAAGACCAGATTGCATACCGGAATTTGATCATGGTGAAAATTGTGTGGAAATGACTTGATAAAATCGATCATCTAGCCCAAATAAATCATGGGATGAAAAAACTACAGTCTATCATATGCAATCACGTTTATCTGGGTTAGCAAAAACGTGGTATAATAACCTGGATAGCTATATAAATATACCTGGAATGAATGAGAAGAATCTTTTCCTAAAGCACTCAAAAAAACTTATTTGCCGCTATAAAAGACCTGACGAATCTTGGACAAATTATTATTTTGACAAGATGAAGTTTTTGCATCAGTGTAGATATAAGAGGCAAAAATGCTGTTGCCGTTCTTATAGATGGCATTCAAGACAATGCGAAACAATCTGGAGCAAGAGTTGGTAGGTATGGAACACCTGAAGATCTATACAAAGATTACCTGGCAACCTTGACTTGTACAGTTCAACATGAACGTACAAGACCTGAATCTACAAAGAGGTACGATAGACAGCAAGAAAATGCAAAGGCAGAGCAGAAGCGTAATTTAAGAATGGGAAAGTGTTTTGGTTTGGCCATAAACAGTTTGACTATCCAAAACCACGACTAGAATGTACAATATGCAAGAGACTTGAACACTATAATAAGAATAAGCCGTCTACATCAACACCCAAAACCAGGATATGCAATGTTACTTCAACTTCCAAGAGCAATGGTTATTACGAAACATGTTCATTAAATGGCTATGATAAAGAAGGATTTATAGATTCAGGGTGTGAAGTAGTTACCATGAAGGAAAGCGAAGCCCGAAAAGTTGGTTTAATCTGGTCTGAGTGTGACATAATATGTTTAAAGGGTAAAATGGTAACGGCGTATCCATGGCTTTGGGTACGAGCAAAGTGCACCTTACCTGTTTGAAGCGGAAGTTCCCGTTCTTATTGTTCCAGACAGATTACAAACTATGGCTGTACTGATTGGACGATCGGTATTGGATAAGCATAACGCAGTGACAGTTTTACGAAATGCTACTGCTCGAATATTCAACTAGGAATTAATCGAGTTACCGCAGCTTGACATTTTGCCTACCGAGATTATTATACCTACTTCTAGTAAAAATCGACAATGAAATAGCCCCAAATCATATTGGACTGATCAGTTGTGTTTCCAAGGATACTGATTATGCATATGTTGGCGATATATTTTTGAATTTTAGATATTCATACGAGCCTATGAGAGAAAACATTCTTCCAAGGTGCGTTGTATCCACGCCTAGCGCAAAAATTCCAGTTTTGAATATTTCTAACAACACGATTCAGTTTGGAAAACGACAGGTGATAGCATGAGAGGTTGCCCCTGCGCTTTTGATGACGATCCACAGGTATGTGTTAATTAAATTGTTCTTGCAAATTTGCTGAAGTTTACGTTGGCAAACTTGGAGGATCGAGTTGATAAGGATATAGATAAAGCTGATTTATTAAAACTATTATCATTAATAAATAAATATAGTGATTGTTTATTGTTTCGCCCAGAACGTTCACGAATTAGGTAACATCAAAGATTTTCAAATGCCTATTAATCTCACAGACGATAAACCTGTAGGTATCGTACATGCCTCATCGCCTGTCATATACCGAACGGGAAAAAGTACGAGAAATTGTTAGTTCCCTGTTATCAGCTGACATAATTAAGAAGTCAAATTCTCCATTCGCAAGCCCGATATTGCTTATTGTTGGAAAGAAAAAGAGCGAAACAAGACTATGTGTGGATTACAGAAAATTGAACTCAAAAACTGTAGGGGATTCGTACCCCTTACCACGAGTAGATGATCATTTAGAAACATTAAAAAACTGCAACTATTTCACTACACTTGATATGGCTGATATCATCAGATACCCATAGCATTCGAGACATAAAACAGCATTCGTAATACCAGACGGGCAGTATGAATACTTTAGAATGCCTTTTGGGTTGGTCAATCCACCCGCAGTTTTCCAAAGAATTGATGGGACAGGGATTTCACATGACTTGTAGCTTTGAACACGTACCTACTACTTACGTTCTACCAGAGAGATAAGATCTTAACCACCTTAAAAGCCTTTCATGAATCCCTTTCACAGCTAACTTTTGAATTAGTACTTCGTGGTTTACACGATCGAATACCTTTGAAAAATCGGTGTATATGGCGTGTACATGATGCCCCTCCTCCAGGGCCTCCAACAAAAAGTCGGTAAATGTAAGCATGTTGTGTTCAGTCGAGCGATGCGCAAAAAACGTTTGTCACTAACACTGCTTCCCAAATTCTTAGCTAGAAAATTACAAACAAGGTCAGTATAAAGCTACATTATTTTAGAAGACTTGGGGAAATCCCACCTGGGCCTGGACTCTTGCTGATATCTAAGGATGATAGTTTTACATAAACAGAAATAGAAAAGTTACAACTATACAAATTAATATGTCTGAAAGATGGGACATTGTCTGAAACATCACAGACATTATCAAGGTACATTTGCGAAAAATATTCAGCAAACAAATTTACAATTTCGCCACCAGTTGAAGACCTGATATTATTGTAGTACATTTCAGAAGGAATATCCCAATTTTTCTTTTTACTGTTAACGAACTGCCAAAAGTTTTTAACATTAACCCTCAAGGAAGATTCAGTTTGGGCTATATAGCATTGATAACACAGCTGATTCTTAATAGTTTTACATTTAGCTCTTAATGCAGAAAATAACTTATAGTCCATATAAAGTCTAGTTGAAACGATTTTTTTTGTGGGCTTTTTTCTTTTCGATTATTATTTTCTTCAATCCTCAGAAAACCACGCAGTGAAATTTTAGGAAGAACAAAAAAGTCGACGGATAAGTACAAAACATCATAAAATACATTGATCATATCGTCCAGAGGTCTATTTATGAACAAAGTATCCCAAGTGAAACAGGAGAGGAAGTCACACACTACCGTAATGTCCATGGCATGGAAGTCTCTATAAAAACCCTCACCTGTGATTCCATGATTGTTAGAATGGTGATGTTCACACTTAATACTAAAAATTAGTGTTGGGTAACAGATAGGTAGGATTAGGTAACAGACTTTCGTCTGCATAGAGAGTTATAGCTTATTCCTTGTTTTGCAAAAACTTAGATCCAGAATAGATCCGTTCTCGTTTCTAAGTGAGTTTACCTGATATAGGTTATGGTATGAGCATAAAACCGATAGTACTTGGAGGAACTCAACTTCGTTTGAAGAAGCTGTTAGCAGAGGGACAGCCACAAAGGCCAAATCAACTTTTGACCACAGTCCATTTGGAAGGTTAAAATCGCCCATTACACACACTTTACTATCTGCGTATGTTTCCGTCAGTCTTTACAGGCTGTCAGCAAATTGTGCATACTTTTCAAAAGCACTCCGAGGTGGGAAATAACCAGTTACAAAAATGAAATCGGTACCGTTCATACCGATCTGTACAAACAAATGTTCAATGTTACTACTTGCTTCCAGCTTAGGACTATACTTGTAATATTCTTTCGAAATGCTATTAGTACCCCCTCTTGAGAAAACGCTTGTTTCGACAGATCTGTCTCTCCTGTAAATATTGAAATCAAGCATTTGAAGTTCAGCATCCTAGAAGTGTTCCGTCAATCAAATTTCATTAAAAACCAAGATATGGTATTCAGAGTAAGAAACATTCTCAAAAAGCAAATAAAGCTTGGTGCGTGAACCTCTAACATTTTGGAAATAGACAAGTTAATTGGATGTGGATTTTACTACCGAAGAACTAGTTAGTTTTTTTTGCCAGTTTGAGAATTCCATTAATATACTTCACCTTTTAGCAGTCTTCGCTTCAGTTCGTTCTTCAAATTGGTAAGTTCAAGACGTTGTTCAGTTAAGTCAGTTTCTAAATATATGCCCCTGCCTCTATCCAAATTCTTCTAATTTTTTAGAACTAGACGAACAACCTCTGGAGATTGAAGGGAAAGCCGCAAAGAACGATGTTCATTTCCCGAATTTGCCTTTCAAAATCCTCCAGCTTTTCTGTGTTAGTCACCTTTATTTCACTTAGAGCATCCTCTATTATTGTAAAAAATGGCCAAAATTTATTTGGACGTTGGAAGTAATTGATTTTCTCTATTGGGAATAAATATTGCTGGAATTAATAGTTGTTCATCAAATGTTATGGTTAATACATTGTGTAAAAAATATTCGAAAGTATTTTCTACAAATTTTGATGGTTCTAATGATTCACCAGTACATAATCTAGAATTGAAAAATAGCTTCAATCCTGTTTTTCTGAAAGCAAGATATATTCCTTTTACTTATCGTAATACAGTATTCTGAATGGGCGACACCATTGGTTGTTCTAAAACCGGATAATAATAAGCTTCGACTTTGTAGTGATTATCACAGTACTGTAAATTAAAATGCAAAAAATAATGTCTACCCTCTGCCAACGGTACGATTAAAAAAATACGTACTGTATTATCTGGAGGAGTTTATATTACAAAATTAGATTTAGAACAAGCCTATCAACAATTGACAGTTGATAAAGATACCGTTATGATTAATATGCCACTTAACACTCCGAAAGGTTTATTCAAGGTTAACAGATTACAATTTGGCATTGCTGCGGCTCCTGCCATATTTCAAAGAACTATGGACGTGTTATTACAAAATTTGGAAGGTTGTTAAGCATATCTCGATGACATTATCATAGTTGGAGAAAACATTCCTGAACTCTGAACATAATGAACGACTCGAAAAAGTTTTGTTCCGCAAAATACTAAAATTTGACAGATGTCACGTGATTTGACACGAGAAAAAAGATGAGCGCGACGTCCGTCAAAATTTGCTCTTTTCGCTAACAGATTATGCAATTACCGAACCCAGCCTCAGACTAAAAATAAAACTAGAGACCAAACATGCCATTTAGAAATCGCCCAATGTTTACAATCAATCATCTTTTAGTCCATGACATAAGTAAAAGACAGATAGACCCACCCATAAAACGGCAACACTGCCCACTGCCCAGTGGCGGTGTGTGCAGTTTCGTCTGATTTTTACCCAGAATTCAATAGAAGTTTTACCCACAATAAATTACCATAAATATCCTCTAACTACGCCAATGTCGAGTAAATTGCTTCACAGCAACACTGCCAAACCGTCATTGATGACATAAGTCACATGAGATGATCTGATTGGCTGGTCGTAGATGCAACGTTGTCGATGTGCTATTTTTCGAGCAATATATTCCTGAGTTATTCTAGAATATTTCACCAATTTAAATTGAAAAAATACTAATTAAAACATATTTTGAAATAAAAATTATCCGTGAAGACATTTATTATTGAAAATCACATCAGATTATTGGCAACCAGGCATATCATGAAAAAATCGACCTTATGAATATTGGATCGCAAAATTTGTTTACTGTCACAGTGTATATATCTGTCGTTTTAAGTTGTTAATCTGTAGTTATCAATTCATGCAAACTGCATTTTATTAGGAAGTAGAGTTGTAATTCCTCCTCAATTACGAAAAAAGAATTTTAAAATTGCTACATACTCCTCATCCTGGAATAGTTTAGATGAAATGTTGTGCTAGATCATTTGTTTATTGGCCTCAAATGGATAAGGAAATCGAAAAAGTGATTTTTAACTTGCGAAAAATGCCAACAAGTTCGAAATTTACCACCAAAACCTCCAGTGCAAAAATGGATAAATACTAACCAAACATGGCATAGAATTCGAATTCATACATCAAATGTTTATCATAGTAGTCGATTCATTTAGTAAATAGTTAGAATTTGTGCGTTTGCAATCAATAACTTCAACTGTGTGTCTGCTCTTGCAGAAATACATCAAATAACATTACCTGTGCGTTATAAACCATATGCACGCCCTGGTACATAATGTTCTTTGCGTATTCACCCAGAAAATCCAGAATATGTTCCACTTGGGATTCATAAGGCAGTCCCCGTAACCTGACACAATCCTTCCTTGTCCCTGACGTGATTACGTGCTGAGGCAATAAAGGATAGTTGGGAATCGGCATAGGTGGCAACTGGGGCGTTGGTGGTGGTTCCATCATCATGGATCGGTTGAGAACCTAGGATAATTACATTACAATTATTATATAAAGGTTTATATTCATAAGTTTCAATATAGTGACATACCTGTTGAACTTCGGCAGTCGTTGACCTGAACAACTCGATGTACCTAGAACCGATAACTTCCCGATGTTTTGCCAGAGCTTTTGGAGCGTCTGATTCGTCAGCAAACAAGACGAAAGCGTCACCGGTAGCTCGTCCGTCAGGCTTCTTGACGAACAACACTCCGTCCAAACCGTCCATGACAGTGCAGGCATTTTCACCCGAAGAGAAAAAGTCGAGCTAATAAAAATAATATCATAACATTAATGGTTTTCTTCTGGAATGTATCAAGATAAAATCGAAAACAATCTGTTCAATTTATTCAGATTCTCATTATTGTAAAAGGACTACTAGTAAATTATCTACTATAAACTACTCTACCTCTAATATCTAGTAGTACACCAATGAAAATTGAGTCTTAAGACACTACGCATCATAAATTCTTACCACTTGCTGCGCACTGCAGTCATAGGGCAAGCCGCGCATGCGGACTATGACCGCCGCGCCTCTGCTGAGGAACGCCAGGGCTTCGCAGCTACTTCCACCAGCTACGGAAAGAAAATCTTCGCCTGTGGCTCGGTACACTTCGATGTATCTAGGGCCGATGTGGTGCTTGTGTCGCTTTAAGGCGATGTCGCGATGCTCTTGCGACACGAACCTCACCAGAGCTTCGCCGTTTCGCCTACCCAGACTCGATAAACAAAGGGCTACTCCACCCCTGAAAACGAAGAAAGAAATTGTAGAGATTAGCCATGAATTGGAGTTTCTTTTGTTGTAGTAAAGAGCTCAAAAGCAACTCTGGTTTGAATGACAAATTAATTTTCAATTTATAACTATTTAGATGAGCACTCAGTTTTAATGGACTATTTTATTTAGTCCAAGAAGTCCATTTATGAACGCACTCAACTGTGTTTAATATTCTTAAAGGTTTCTGGGATTCCCTGGACATGCTAGAGAAAATTGGGTTAGGGTATGGCATGACTGAGAATGCAAAAACATATTGTATCAGTATAATGCAAATCTGCCTTATTCTTGAAGTTATAGATACGGTAGGTAATTAAGAGAGCAAAAAATGAAAAAAAGTTAGCACGTAATCAGAAACAAACATGCACACTCAGTTTGATTTTGAAACAAAAAATGTGATTGCGAATTTTATGTAAGACAATAGAGAATATTTATACTTGGTAATGTGAACTTCCTTTTAGAAAATTTTCAAATAACTTACTTGGCAACATTAAGTCCTCTAAAAAATTTGGCAATGTCTTGGTCGCTACTTTGCCAAGGAAGTCCTCTCGCTCTAACTACACAATTGGGGTCGATCTCATCGTCTTTTGATCTGAAAGAAAAATTAAAGTGTTCAATTTTATTCTGCATAATATGGCTCTTCGGTAAAGAATGGTAAATTGACTTCAAGTGAATTGAACTAACTAACACATAATCAACGTTACAGCGATAATAGTTATTTATGATATAAGTGTTAAAAGTGCATTTTTAAGGCACGCATGTGAAAGTTTGCAGAATGAGCGAAGCCAATTCTGCTATTTACATAAGTGAATTACATAAGTGAATAATAAATTGGAAGCATCTTTCCTATATAAAATTATTGAATTTGACATTTGTCAAAAAATCCAAACAACCAGCACCTTGTTTTATAGCATAGAATATTTTATAGGTAATGAAATGTCTTGTCAGTTTCTTGAAAGGTGCTTGAAAGTCTGTCGTGGTCAGTAATGTTTTTTGCTGAAAATGCAACAAAATACAGAAGAAAAAGAGGGTTGCATCGATCCCTTGAAAAATATAGATGAGGCGGCCAATCGGGCTACCTCAGTTGTTCAAATTTCACCATTAATAGATATCAATGTAAATAACTAAAAATACGAACTTTTTTTGACGTTCGCTCTCAAAATCTGATGTTTCATTTCTAACACTAGTGCTATAAAGACTTTATGGCACTAGTGCGATAAAGTAACATTTTTAATGCTACGGGGGGGGGGGGGGGGGGGGGGGTGTTTAAAATTGCATTTTTAACACGTTTATAAAAAAAAAGTTTTATGAATCAATTTTTATCAAATCGACCAAAATGTATTTTGCATATTATGCATGTGTGAAACATGATGTTATGTTTTAAGCATTTTATTTTATAATGGCTTCCAAGTAGTAGGTACTTAAATCTACATGTTTCAATTTTTTTACAGGGATGAGAGCAATTCCCTGTTCCTATTGCAAACAAAACATTAACAAAGTAAATTCTAAGTTTTTGGATGCAATTCTGTGCACGTCTTTATCAAAAACCAACTTCTAAAACCGAAACGTAAGTAAGGTAAATTCAAGATAAGCCCCCCAAAAAAAAATAGTGTAGGTATTACATAAAGCCCAGATAAAACTAAAACAAATACTCAATAAAAGCGGCGAGAACGCAATCCTATAGATACCTATATTATCATTCCACATCCGGAATAAATCAGTGTGAATAAATCGGTTATTAAAATGTTTCCCAGTGATTATTTATTTTTGTTTGATGTATGATAAGCCACCTACGTGATGTTGAGGTAATTACATTTTCTAAAGTGGCGTCTAATCAAACAGCTGCCGATTGCTACTTTTTCTTGAATTTTATGTCTATCATCCCAAATTGTACATGTACAGGGTGGTCCACCATAAATTCACCCCTTACCTGCAGCAGTGAGTACAGGTGACAGATAAAAAAAAGGTTGTCTCCACTCCGTACAGTACCAGAGCACTTTTAAAAACATTTGGCGTGGAGGTAATCGATCGAACTACAGGGCAGATGGATAATATACAATTTGAGACATTTTTTGGAAACTCTTGCGAAGTTATTACAACCCTCAAAGAATGAGAATTCTATACGAGGAGAAAACATATCAATGAGGAAAACGAAGATAATACTGGTGCTGCAATTTCATCAATGTCACATGAAACTTTTAAAAAACTGTTTACATATACAAAAAAATTTCCCAACTAATTTGCCATTAAATCTTATACTGGCGAAATTATAAATCCTATTGAATTTTTAACTATGAAAATAGCAATTGATAAATTATTATTCCTTTGTTGGTAACCTTAACATTATCCCTAAAAAAAATGGATTCGATTTTCGGAAGAGGGTGGATAAAATCCGGTGACGGAGGTTATTTATTCTTGTGGTGTAACTACACCGGAATCCGAATCACATGACCTACTCTATGTTTTAGAGTGAACGAGCCTCCAGCTAACAACTGAGAACATTATACCTATCTATGTTCCAGATGACTCTCCACGTCAAATCGAAGACGGGCGAGATTTGGTCTTTTGTCCGCGTCTTAGAATTGTCCTCTTGACTACGAGAACATTTATGTAATCGTGAATGGAAACTTATTAGGTACTAGTATCAGAATTTACGTGTTTTATTTCGTCCTTTACGCTATCACCGACATAACAGTGGCGATGAGGTTAGAAAGAAGAGAGAAAAATGAAGGTGTTCGGGCAAAACATGTTGGTGAAAGAAAAGGAAATTGCGGCCGGATTGGACGTGAAATTTGGAGAATTCAATGCAGAATCGGACGATTGGACAATATAGCGAACGTCTGCAAGCGAAAGACCAGAACATGAAGGTAGCTACATTGCTGAGTGTAATTGAAATCGATGCGTTTAATCCATCACTACCTAAAGAAAAAACCTACAACGATTAACAGAACTCCTACAGAAGCAATTTTCTCCGCAAGTTAATGCATGGAGAGAAAGGAGAACATTTTATAGTGCCTGTCAAGAAAATGGTGAATCCATTGCAAATTGGTACGCTCGCATACGAAGTCTGTCAATAAATTATGATTTTGGAGCAAATTTATCTGATGTCCTAAAAGATAAATTCGTGTCAGGCATGTTCAAAGGGCCCATCTACGATCGTTTATGCGAAGAAGACATGGAAACAAGCCTGGAAAATCTGAAGAAAATTGCCCTTCAATTCAACGTCAAGAAACAATAAGTCAAGCAAGCAGCGCAAGCGCAGATTTCTATTCTGTCAGCCGACAGAACCAAACAGCTGTAGCCATGAAATCGCGCAATGGTGCCATGGGACACGAACCAACCTGGTACCAACATGAAGGTCAATCACGACGTCATACTTCGCCGTCGACAACGCTATACCAAGGGCGCAAGCCTCATGTGTCAGCCCATCAGTTGACGAACTTCAAGAACAAAGGAATAGCTGCAAAATGTCGATTTTGCGGATTAAATCATCGGTATCCTTGCAAGTTCAAAAATTATTCTTGCGACACATGTAAACAAAGGGGACATTTATCCAGGGTTTAGACTAAGAAGAAGGTACATTTCATGCATGCAGAAGAGGCAAACAATGATTTTAAGAGCGTTCAAAATGGATTGGTAAATGAAAACAGGGTAAACAATGGGTTTGACAGCGACAACAATGGGTATGTAAACATTAACAAGGTAAACAATGAACATAATCAAGAATATTTTAATGAGCTACAAGTTGTGAATGATTTCTATAAGGCACCAATATTTTTAAATGATGTTTATCAAAAGTATTCTGGAAATTTGCTTGAAAATGAATTTAAGGTAGATATAACGATTGAAAATAAACGTTTCACTTCTGAATTGGATAGCGGTTCAGCAATTAGTGCAATAAAAGATGATATTTATGGTAAATATTTCAACAATATTCCTATAAGAAAGGATAAATTGATGTTAAGAAGCTTTAATGGTGGCACTTTTGTACCTGAAGGTTATGTTTCTGTCGAAGTTGGTTATGCAAATAAGAAATTAAAAATGAAATTGTATGTTATTAAAAATGGAGGCCCAAATATTATGAGTAGAGATTTTTTCATTGCATTGTTTAAACATTTGTAATAATATTTCATTTCAAAATGGACTGAATAACAAAGAGGTTACAAGTCTGATTCTGAGGTTTCCTCAGGTTTTTTCTGATAAAATCGGGAAATTTAATCACAACAAAATTTCACTTCAGCTTAAGCCAGAGACAAGGCCAGTTTTTTGTAAACCAAGGCCAATCCCACTTGCTTATCGTAAGATGCTGGACTAGGAACTGGATAGGCTGATTGGAGAGGGAATTTTGACACCAGTCGAGACAAGCGAATGGGCTACACCGTTGGTGGCAGTGCTGAAGCCTGATGGTAAGGTAAGTTACGCCTGTGCGGCGATTACAGGGCTTCTGTAAATAGGTTTCTAGTAGAAGAGCATTTATCCAATTCCAACGGCAGCCGAGATCTTCGCAAAGCTACGGGGAGGTGAGTACTTTAGTAAACTGGATTTAAACAGAGCTTATAACCAATTTGAACTTGACGACAATGCAAAAAAAAATAAAAAATTAAGATGGTCAACACATAAGGGTATTTTTACAATGGAAAGACTGCCATTTGGAATATCTACAACTAGTGGTAGATTTCAGAAATATTTGGAACAATTATTTCAGGGTATGGATCATGTGGCAAATTTTTTGGATGACATAATTATTAGAGGCAAAGATCAAGAGTCGCATTTGAAGAATCTGAACATGTCTTGGTGAAGTTGAAGGATGCAGGATTTACACTAAGACGGAAAAAAATGTAGATTTTTTGAAGTTGAAACTGTTTATTTGGCACACAATAAGCAAGGCCTAAAGAAGGATAAATCCAAGATTCAAACCATTGTTGACGCAAAGAACCCAACTAGCATTAGTTACTAAAGTACCTAAGATCTTTGCTAGGTACAATTAATTTTTATGGTCCTTTTGTTCCAAAATTGTCAAAATATATTGAATCATATAAATTGTCAAAAAGAAACATTAAAAATTTCATTGGTCAAGTGAATGTCAAAAAGCTTTTGAGCAAGTCCAGGCTTGCCTATTGTATTGTCTACAGATGCGTTAGAAACTGGAATTGCTGCGGTTTTAGCACACAGAATGGAAAATGGTCAGGAGAAACCAATATATTGTATCTCAAGAACGTTGAACAAGGCAGAAAAATCCTACTCAGTTATCCACAAAGAGGCTTTAGCAATATATTGGGCAGTAGCAAAGCTGCAGCAATAATTAGTTGGTCAAAAGTTCATGATTAGATCGGACCATATTCAATTGATTTCATTGTTTAACGAAAACAAAGGGTTGCCTAAGATACATGCAAATCGTCTTCAACGATGGGCAGCATTATTGGTAGGGTTCAATTAAAAAATCGAATATATTAATGGCGAAAAAAATTACTATGCAGACTTTTTATCTAGGGTGATATTGACGAACACTGAACACTGATCATATGAGGAGAACTGCAACTTTATCAAATTTACATCAAATCTCGAGGCTTGGCCTATTGATAATGAAAAACT